GCGTCCTCGTGCACGGGCGCAGTGCACGGATGCGTATTAGCGTCTGTGCGATGCTCCAGCTGCTCCTGGAGGATCGCGCAGGCACTGTATGCGTCCTGCGCATGCATGGAAGCGCAGAACTCGTCAAAACCGGGTAAGAAACGCAGGCGGGCGGGTGGACCCTTCGGCGTTCCCGGAAGTTACTTACTTCCAGGTTCGCCGACCAACCGGTTCGCGGGGACCGCCGCGAACCGACTGAAACCCACCCATGCCCTATTACCCCCAACAATCTGGGTCCTCATTTTATCCACCTCGGAAGGATGGAAGTCTGAGTCAACCTTGAGCCTGGTGAGATTCGAACTGCTAAATTGCAGGCAGCCAGCAGTCAGCAGAAGCAGCCTGCAGTACTGTACTCTGTACCACCACAGCTCAGGAAAGTTTATGTGGGACACCAACCCAAAAGCCCACTGTTGTTTGCTAGTGGTGGTTTAGTGTTGACTTATCCAACAAGCCATTTTTAATTTTTCAAAAAAATCATAAGTTGGCAGGGAGAAATTTGATCCTTTCAATGCCACCAATTTTGGCTCCGCTCGATTGCTTTTTCGATTATCAGGACCTGCCTCAGACTAAAGAGGAAAGCAGCCTCCGAGCTGGATACGGGGTCTTAAAAATGAATCGCCGAGGGTCCTTTTGTGTCCTCCTGCATGCCCCCCACCGTCTCAAATCCCAGATTCACTCACGGGTACACCTGGCCTGAGAACCTGACCATTGGCGGCTGGACTGGCAGACCCGTGAACGGGTCCCCTCTAGCTCAAAGCCTCCGTTGCACTGGTATTCACAGATGGCACCATAATTGTTCCCTGCTGAACTGCAGCTGAGATATCCATGTTCGGGCGCCTTCAAGGTGGGACAGCGACTCACTGGAGAAGGGAGAAAGTCAGTGGCCTTAAATGAGAAGGATTCCTTGACTCAACAAAACCCAACTCTTCAGAAGAAACTCTCGGAGAAGCGGTAGAGGTGCCTTCCCAGATAGTTACAGGGAACTCCCTGTAGTCATGTCCTGTTTCTTGAAATCTGTAACTTTTGGAAAGTGTGACTAAGCCTACAAATGTCAGGTTGGGCTCCCTTATTGGCCAGAACCAAATCAACCATTTTATTAATGTATTCATTCTGTAGACGGACAGCCTTCTTTTCTGAAGGAGCTCCAGGTGGTATTTAAAGCATGTTCTCTTTCATTTCTTCCCTGATAATGACAATCCTGTGAGACACAAGTTACCGTGTTTTTTGCACTATAAGACACTCCAAACCATAAGACGCACCTAGCTTTTGGGGAGGAAAACAGGAAAAAAAAATCTGCCTCTGCCTCCCAGCATCCATTGGTATTCATCTGGCTAGCGTCCTTGCAGCAAACAGTCTGGTCAGCTTCAGCAAGTTATCGCAGCCTGATTGAGCAGAAGCAGCTGATTGGCAGTTGGATCGGCCTCCCGGAATATCGCCAGTCAGCTGTTCAGCTGTGCAGATTACACCTATTGCCGCCTCCACGTGCCCCATTTTTGGCCTCCGCGCCTCCCATTTCTGGCCCATTCCAGGAGGCGGGGATTGCTGCCGGCGCCTATTGCTGCTGGCAATTGGTGACCACAAACCCTGCTGCCTGGAACGGGTCGAAAATGGGGTGTGGGGGGGCTGAAAACAGCTGGTGGGTAGGGCTTCAGCAACATTTGCTCTATAAGATGCACAGACATTTCCACCCCCTTTTTTTGCAAAAAATACGGTAAGTTCTTGATGAGCTTAAGGTCACCACTGAACTTCCATGGTTGAGGTAGACCTTTTAGCTGGATCTCCTACTCCAGTATATTCACTATACCATGCTAGTAGGCTATTCTACCATGCTATGGCTTAACACAATGTAGGAATCCAATTATGGAACCCCACAAAACAATTTTGACCAGAGGGATGTTAAGTAATGATAGCAACCTGAAGAAAAAAGGGGAACTTCGGTCAAATCTGAGAAGATACTTCTTTTATGGTGGTTTGGACTCCTTGTCTTGTTCCTTACCTCGAACCCTCACCAAAAATTTGCACGTGGCTCGATTGTGCGCCTGGTCATAGACAGCATAGCGAATAAGATGTTCTCCTTCTGAAAACTCGGATCCTGGTTCTGGGCCCCGGCGTTTCAGTCTGAACTCCCAACGACAGAGAGACTTTTTAGCATAGGAGATCACAGAATAGACTTACTGGAACCCTTCGACGTCCCCATTGAGCTCACTTTTTGATGATGCCGTCAGCAGAATCCTTTGCACGGGGTGGATCCCAGTAAACTCTGGCGGTCAGTTTGCCAGGCTCTGCTATTCGCTCTCGAGAATCCGGACACCGGATTTGAGGAGGTTCTGTGTCTTTTTGGGAAAACGGGAGGAGAATTTCACGGAAAGGAGCAGCAAAAGAATTGTTAATTATTTCCATGCTGATTCAATACAAAGACACCTTGTTTAATGACTGCCTGTTTAGCACTTAAATGGCAAGTTGAGATCACCTCTCACTTAATGACCCGCAGTAAATCGCTTAATGACTGAATGGGATGTGGCATCAATCTACCACTATCAATCTATCCTGTGATGTTTTGCTCAGTGACCACATCATTGTGGTTATTAAGTGAGAATTATCTGCACACTGAACAAAGGAATGGTATCTTGAAGGTTTTGTAGCTCTCCCCAATGACAAAACACTAGGATATTTTAAGGGTTTAAAAAATGGCAAATAAGAACAAATATTGCTGGGCAGAACAATGTGAATGTTGTGCCTCTTAGGTCAGTGAGCTGGTCCTCCAATTGCCTCATATGGTGTTTTCTGTTTTGAGGTTGGTATTTTAAGGATGACCATGGTCAACTGAAAGCTGTTTTCGTGGATTTGGAGAGTACAGGAGAGATAGTATGACAGATATTCAGCATCCCACCCCCAGATAGTTATATCCCAGCAGTCACCACAGCTGGGTTTGGAGTTCTAGGTGGCTTTGGTGTCTATGGAGATTCTCAATCATGCAGGTCATAGTTTTCCCAGAGGTGCTTTTCCAAAAGGCAACTGGTGTAAGAGATGTCCAGGCTGAGCCCGAGGGAGGGGTCAAATACGTCATTAGTCTCAAGTCCTTTCATGCTCACAAAAGATCTAAGTTCAGTCCGCCTTGAATTCCACTGAGACTACCGCCAATTTGCTTCGACCGTTAGTAGTTCAGATTCTCATAGAGAGCATAAGCTTGCAATAAATCTTTATATTCATTTGAACTGCCTAGACTTCTGATTTTCCCCCACTTGACAACTGGACTTCCTTGGCTTTTTCCTTGAAAATATTCTGCTTCCAAGAAGCTGCTTCGATGAGAAGTGAAACGTTTTCAAGAAAAAAAAAACCCAAGAAAGTCCAGTTGCCTTTTGGAAAAGCACCTTTGGGACATACCCTGTTTCCCCAAAAATAAGACCTCCCTGGATAATAAGCCCACTCGGGCTTTTGAGCACATGTGCTAAAATAAGACCTCCCGTGAAAATATTGCAACACAGCAGCAGCCATGAAGTGACCACACTCCTGTATCTCAAAAATAATAAGACCTCCCTGAAAATAAGGCCAAGTGCTTATTTCAGGGGGTCAAAAGAAAATAATACCCTGTCTTATTTTTGGGGAAACACGATAGGTAGCTTTGGAGAAATAAAGATGCTCGGCTCAAGTTTGGAGCAATAGCTTTACATTTATAAGCCATGGCTGGGCCAAGTTGACTTCTTCTTTTGGACTAGGATTGGAAGGAGGACAGCCCTGGAAGGGTGAGAATTTACCTACACAAATTGGCACACTACCGCTCCAGCGCCCTTCTTCCATGCACACACGGGTGCGGTCACCTTCTAGTTGATACCCCAGTTGGCAGGTGTAGTGACAGTGAGAATCAATCTTCACCCCATTGGAGCAGTGGTAAGACCCGTGCTGAAATGCTGGCAATGTGTAGCATCGAACTTCTGCAGAGAGAGAGAGAATTTAAACGTTACTGATTTATATCCCACTTTGTAAGGAATTAGCATCCTCCTCTCCAATTGCAGTGAAGCAGACTGTATCGAGACTGAACAACTGGGCCAAGATGAATGTCTCATGCAAAGAAATCAGGAAGCAAGTTAGAATTCAAAAGTACTAGAAGTGTATTTCATGCCAATATACACAAGAACCAAGGCAGTCAAGGCAAATTGGCACCAGATAAAAGTCAACGAACGTCAAGCAGGGCTGAATTTAGGTCTCTTATGGCAATATAGAGATTCCAGACTGATGATGCATTTGACCCTGCCTTCAGGTTCAACCTGGTCATCTCCTACAATGAACTTGAAGTTGGTCCTAACCACAATCCAGCATTCTTGTGGCAATACCTCCTTGATTTTCTGTCCTCTCTTTTTCGGGATGCTTTGTACCCAAAGCTAAAGCCTTCACTTTGCAATGAAAATATACTGATTCAAGCCTGTTTAGCGCTTCACTCTATAGTTGGGAGACCATTACTAGAGACATTTCCTCCACGTTTTCATCCAGTTGCAAAGGGCTTAAATCCCATCCTTTAGGAGTCCGGTGGCATGATTTTGGCTCTATTCCAGTTTTCTGAAAAGACCAGGAATGAATGGGACAATGCAATTTTAAGGCCAACATATTCCCGGAAAGATTGGAAAAAGGATTACCGGTAGTTCAATTATTTTTCTAAAGAACCCGTTGATTTTGCCCAGACATTGTGCTAAGTTATACTATGATTTTAGATATCCATAGTGATATCTGTAGTGTGTGAATCTGAGCTATTTCCCCTCTATAGCAAGAATAGAATATTCTTGCTATAGAGGGGAATAGAATATAAAATAAAATAGAATATAAAATAAAATAATAGAATATTATTTTAGAATAATATTTATATTATAAATATAGAATAGAATATAAAACAAAATAGAATATTTTAGAATAGAATATAAAATAGAATAGAATATAAAAATAGAATATAAAATAATAGAATTTAATATATAATATAGAATAGAATATAAAATAGAATAGAAATAGAATAGAATATAAAATAGAATAGAATAGAATAGAATATAAAGTAATAGAATAGAATATAAAATAGAATAGAATAGAATATAAA